CCATTCCTACAACCCCGATTATACGATACATTGAGTCAGAATATCATTCGAGTATGACATCATTTAATTCGGGCATGACATCATTTAATTCGGTTCTCCATTACATGTAAATAGATATATACAACAATGTTGTTAATCGGAAAATTAAACAAGTAAATTACATAACATATATCAGATAGATTGCTTTATGCTGTTAGAGTTTACGCAATTTACCAGCTACAGAAAATTAGATAAATACAGTTAAAAATAACGTGCAGTTAGCGAGTTACCAAAGCTTACATACTCCGGCGTCGAATTGTTGCGAATAACAAAAACGAAAATATATACAGTAGGTGTTAAAATATACATACGTGGATTAATATCAAGTCTTAATCCTCTTGCCACCGACAAGTAATACTCGCAGCGGTTAAATCAAAGAATGAATTCTCCGAATCTTCAAGTTTATTTTGACGTGTTAAAGTACACTCCATCGTCATCGTGCCACAGTCAAATATAGATTGCAGGTTGCCAGCTCCTGTCTGAGAGTCAGATAAACAGGTTATTACATGTATTAAGGAGATCACAATTATCAAATAACGTTTTGATGTAGAGAATGAAGAAAGAAAAAAACCGACACCGATATACATTCATTAAAACCACAGAATATTTCCTGCAATCTCGCAATAGTCATCTGCCTTTCTGAGTCCGTAGGAGTCCTAGACTAGACTAGACAAAGAAAACGGTGTTCGATTACTATAATTGCTACGAGGATAAAAGTTTCTTTCAACAATCAAATTTCAACGTTTTAAATTTATACTATGATCATCGGGGGGGGGGGGGGGGCAACAAATAAGAATAGAACACGGGTGGAGTTATAGAAATCACTCCAATACACTCCTCCTCCTGGGAGTAGTTTACAATATATTTCTCCAAGAAGTATTTGCGAGTATAATAAATCTGAATAATTCGAGTATTTTCTTTACAACCTCCAATATTCGTAACTCTTCCATAAGTAACTTTGCAACGCATGCACGATCTCTTTTCTCATGTAGGTTTGGTGATTTCGTCAAGTTGCGGATTATGCAAATGCCACTAACTGGATTGCCTCCGAAGTTGGTAACCGATGTATACATGTCGTACATATGTCGACGGATTCAATTTCATGGATGTTAAATTATCAGCAAATTGTGTTCAAAGAATGTATATAAGACGAAACACGCACATGTCTTGGATACACGTTCGAAAATTACAATTTCATTTTTGGTGTGTGTTCACAATACCATAAAATGAATGATGCAAGGAAAAACAGGACATTGGATTTGTAGCTCTGTAATATCAGAGTTATTACCACGCATCTGACATTTTTAGGATCAATCTTCTTTATTATTATAATGATGTCATTTACATATCAGCAGTTATAAACGATTGGGTTAGAAATACAGACAAACAATCCTGGCCTGGAATGCTTCTTTCCATAATTTTTGCAATTACCATATCACTACAAGCGTGGTACTTGTCAGTGGAGACTGACTTTGCTCTGGATGATGCTGGGTAATATTTATCAGCAACAAAGATACTGTGACGCAATATAAGAATATCACAGAAATGCCTATATCGCCTACACGTGTACTTGTGTTGTAGTAAGGATTGGTTCCTTTTATTCAAATAAATTAGTGTTCCGAATTGGCATCACGGAAGAGTTTGTTACATATTTCGTGTTATTGATAGCGATTCCATCATTGGTTGGACAATATAATGACCAATTCTCGGTCTTCCTCAATGAGTCATTAAAAGTCTTGAAATTTAAAACAATGAAAAAACATGTGTGATGTATGAATAGTTCGACCTATAGGCCTGTACACAATACCGCGCGGGATCGCATAGGCTAATTGCGTATCTTAAGCAGTGAGATCTGATTGGGAGCGCCTCGAAACCAGGCGCCCAATCAGCTTGGACGTACCAAATTATAAAACAAAATTCCACTTCCTGTTTTTGTCGCAATGAAGACATCCTTCCCACAAAAAACTGCGTCTATTGCCTGTACCTGATGAGGCTCGAGGGCACCAACACCGAACAATTTTATCATCACAAATATCACGACTCATGGGCGCCGCCATTTTGTTTAAAATTAAACGACAAAGAGAGATTTGTAACACGCAAACTGATTGGATAATGATTAGCCGCAACTGACTACTGGGGGCGCTGTTAGAATACGCATATTTGATGGTCGTTCTGCCAAGGTCTGTTTAGATAGAGGCTTGGCCGAATAAACTAAGACCTTGGCAAGCGAAGATGAATAACGGTCATCATACCCACATCATTTTCAAACTGCAGTTGAAAAAGCGATTCGTTCAAGCACCGTCCCTCAAAGTGGCCACGGTGACCGTGACTCAAGGAATGCACTTTTGATTTGACATAGTCCATCAAACCTTTATAATCAAGTTGTCCGTCCGTGTATCCACCTCAGTATAAAATCTGAATTTGATACATAATGCACCAGTAATGTAAAAACACCTTTTAGTTTGACTCAAAAAACTGTCGCGAAACTGCAGCGCGTCCAATGCTAAGAAACTTTACTTTGAGCCTTCCCACTAACGACGAGTTCATTAATACCTGGGGTTACTCAGGCTCTAGAGTTGTTTTGTAAATTGCGCTATGTCAGTGTACTCAGATGGTTATACCAATTTATAATAACACTTTGAATGCATTTTGAATGCATATACAATATTAGTATAACCTGTTAATGTATGGCAACCAACGCGTGTCGTTTTGAAAACAGCGTTTTACCCGCATCTAGCAAAATAATGGAATGATCCCAATTGTGGGCATGCCAATACAACGCCGTCATCAAGTCTAGATTGGAAAAAACCCAAGTGTTTTGCAAAGTTTCAAGATATATTGCTGACTGACTGTCCGAATAATTCTATTTCTATAAAATAAAATAAAATTTTATTTTTATTTCATTTTCGGCTCCTGTTCATTCGGCGGGTTCGCGAAACAAGGGGAAAATAAAAGTCTGGCCTTACGTTTTATTGTCTTGGGTACGAATAGCTAAACATTGCAAGAAAACCCTCACAGTATCGATGTAAAAGTAATCAGTTGAGGTTCCGCGTCGTAATCCCATTGATTGTTTTGGCGTGAATTGTCGACATTTGTCGTAGACTATATATATTGTTATAAAATCTATGCGATTACTGTGAAACGTGTTCCAAATATATATCACTAATTCTGGAGCCGACCTTCAAACATTATTACTATCCAGGTATGCCAAGTGGGTACTCATGTGACAGTGATTTAGCTGAATAGTCAGACCACGTGACCTTTGTTCAGTTTACTTTAACGTCTAGTATCACGTGATCGATCGTCCGCAGCGTACCGTGACAATACTGATCGAACTGTAATTTTTGAACGCGTATTGCTAGCAACTGCCAGGGTAGGTTGTATTGTGTTTATACGTATAACGTGTTTATGCAGTTTAATATAAGAGTTCTAATTCCATTGTTTGCATGTCAGAATCAAGGTGGCTTTGTCGGCGATAACAACACAGTATGTCAAGGGTTTATGTACAATTTAAATCTATGATATTTGGGGCGCCTCGAATAATTAAAAAAATACTAACCGTATAATCGTTACCATGGCCATTCTGTACGTACTTAGACATTAACATCATCTCTTGACACCACCTCTTACTTGCGTATACGTCGGGTTCCAAGTATTATTTGTTCACTGATTTTATAATGTTTAGTCTATGTAGTTGTTTCTTGCTCATGATTTGTATTTTCCATGTACGAGTTAGTTTTACCCTACTGTAAACAAATCTATCTTACGACAGTCCAACCAACTTCGATGTGTGGTGGTTTGATATATTATTTTCATGTTGACCTTGATCTTTAAAGTGTTAATGATATATATATATAATAGTGCCGTTCGCGTTGGACGGGTGTGTACCGTGTTGGTGGGCACTGATCAATAATAATCATGACAGTATCGCAACATGTGATTTTATTATCACGGTCTCAGTGCAGAGTACCTCTAGCCCAAGCCAAGTTATGTTATATGCGATAGTATGGTAAGGGGGTTACTTTTATTTCAGTGCAAATTTAATTACCGAAATAAACCACTGGTGTATTTTGATTTTGAAAAGTCCAGCTTTTTCCAAATCACACGAATTGTTATGTAAGCCGAATTTTCTGGTAAATTACGTTGTTTAGGGAAGATGTAGTAACCACAGCAACAGCACCACGTACCATTCACGGCCTGTGCCTTCGAAGCAACACGTGACTGAAGACCAAAGGCCGAGTCACCTGGTGAGCTCGGTTTGAAGTGTGTTGGCACGATAAAACTGAGTTATTTGATGCCATGTCAGAGAGGAGTGTTTGTACAGCGTTAAATTAGATTAACCATGGTAACACGGAGCTTCGGCAATCATTAAATAGTGTCCACTTGCACAAACAACTCTTGAATTTGGACTCGCATTTTGGAGTCACACGGGCCAAGTGACTGACATTACGAGTAGCAAATCTGCGTGAGCGTCGCCGCTTCCTGCAGTAATGAAAACAAGCCGTTCTGTTACTTGGCGTAATTCCCTGTTGTAGGTGACATGGAAGTTTTAGTGTTGTTGAGCCGCAGGGTTGTTTAGGGCAGTGAAGTCGCAACTGTGTTCATGGCTGCTGAGTGGTCAGTGTTGGCAGATGGTAGTAGAAATAAAAGAATTATATTCAACTTGCGTCATAATTTAAGCTACTTGCAAACTACGCCCTCGTAATACCACACTCTGTCGTGGTGTTCCACAAGATATGGCTGTTGCTTTAGACCAAGCGCAAACGTCGAAATCTGAAATGTAAACAAACTCGAATCGGTAAAACAATTATCTGCGAAAAGAATAAAACTGACGAGATTACATTAATTGTAACAACACACTCAATTTTACATGTACTGGGGTGTCATTGTTATATGCATATGTGCCTCGAAATAAGTAATATAAACAGATGGTAAATATGTATTTATTTCTTCATTTACAGATGCGTGAACAAATTCGTCTATTTGTCGTGGTTGTATACACTGTGTGTTTTTCATCATATGAGGTAATTAGAGTTCAAGTCTTGTCCATGATAATCAGCTTTGAAGATGAGAAGCACTTTTTAATTAAAATATGTTTACTTTTTTAAAAAAAATACACACCAATCTTGGTGAAAATATGAACTCTATTTTGAGTGGAATCCAAAATAGATGGTCGAGAATAGAATTGTTTATAACATTTGACCACCCATTAAAAACAATAATTCAACTTGGTTAAGGGCTGTTTTAAAATGTTGTGGTATTTCTTGTACAAAGATTATAACATTTTGCAAGTTAGTTTTTATTCTGGGCGCATAACAAAGAAATTTAATTTGGAATATTTTCAATACCTCTGGTTCGTTGTTTATAAATTCTCGAATCACTTTGGGTTTTATTGAAAGGGCGGTGGTCGTCGCGCTGCGTCCTGTTCGATATGGGACTCATAGCGACGTATACAACGCGTGTAAAATACATTGTTTATTTACATGAAATTCGAAAACGCGCTACGCGACGATCACCGCGCTTTATGCATCAAGTTAGCACAAACTGAAGATCAAAGTTTATATTTTTGTCTCCAGGTGCTGGCACTGGTTGACGCCATTGGTTGCGGAGAACATAAAGGCTGTTTCCAGTATCCTGACGGTTGCCAAGACGCCGAGTGTGAACTTTTAGTCACATGGCAAGCTGTCACCGCTGGTATTGACACTGAGTTTGGAATCATTGGAAAGCTGACCAGCGAGGAACATTACGTTGGTATTGGATTTTCACACAACCAACAGATGGTTTGTATATTGTCGATCGAGTCATTCATTGTTATAAATACATGATCACGCGTTATATTATATTTCCCGTTAACTCGATTGCCAGTGGAGTCGGGCGGATTTGAGTAGCCAGTGCAGCGATTCTCATACAATTACCGAACGACGTATGATAAGGGAACACACATATCATATCATGGGGGGGGGGGGGCTGAAAGATTGAAAGCTAGATAGACAATGTTGGCGCATTCAGGAACAAAAAAAACAACTCAAATGGTACCCCCCTAACGTACACATGTCACATGTTCCTTGCAGCACGACGCTGACGTATGGGCGTGTTTACAGCTAGCGGATTCAAGTATCGTTCTCGACCACTCATACAATCTTGCCAACGTTTACGGTAACGTCCAGACTAATACGGTATGTGCACATTTACTGCTTAACATAATTATCTGTAAACAAATAAACACACAACTAATTGACTGTATTTACTCACATTTTCAGACAGGAGCTACAAACTTAACTGCTGCATTCGATAACGGTGTATTGGAATGTACGTTTACAAGGCTTAATAAACTTGAAGATCCTCAAGAACCATTCTTCGATTTGACGGCGATGGAATACTACTTAATGGTTCCCAGAGGTCCCCGGGACGACACCCATGATCCCCGTGAGGAATTCCTCTATGTTAATATAGTAAATAAGAGTGAAACACTATCAAATTTGGAGAAGTGATGGTTATTATTCAAACACATAGCCCTACTAATAACCATTAAAATAACCATTGTCCATATGCTAACCATATAAGAAAAATGTAATCAGTACAAATGAAGATTGTACGTGCACTAGCCACTTTTAAACAAAAATATTGAGAAAGGGTGAATATGAAAAAAAATTCCAATATGTAAAATGCTCATAGAAGCTAATGATGCCTATATATATCCTATATGTTATATATTGATCTTTTAATGTATACATACTTTCTGTCAATTAAGCTAAACTTAAGAAACACATTGAGATACCCATCGTGTCTAATGAGAAGATAAACTTCACTCTCTATTCTACGTATGGTGGTGACGTGAATTTGCCGACATTGCCTAAAGTACATGGTGAGTAAGAAAACAATACCAGCAGATACATTATTGTTTTGAACATCATAATGTTTCTTTTTCCAAATGTCGAAGAACCATTTTACACATTACTTGGATCAGTTTTGGGTCTGTTTAATTTCCGTGTTACTTGTTTATAAGTACGTAGTATGCTTATAATTTATATTTATTTAAAATGGTTTTATATCTATTAATGGAGTACGAAATCCATCCTAAGGAGAGAAATGAACATACATAGCGTTGTAAATTTGATCATTATTTGTATTCGATGAGTAACTATTCGTAAATTGTGTCCACAGGGTCACTAATGATGTTTGGTTGGATCGTCTGTGCAAGTATTGCTATCATATGTGCTCGATATTACAAACCTATGTGGCCAGGGAGACAGTTACTTGGACAAAAAGTGTGGTTTACGGTAGGTATAAAGCAGACGACCGAAATCGGACAAATATGCAAAGTACCAAATTAAATATTCATCACAGAAAAAATAGACCTATAAATTCTGGAAATTATGAATTCTCGACAAAAATTCATTGCAATAATGATTACAACATAATTTTGGGGTAGCCAGCCTGGATATTAAAATTAGAGACTTTCAAAAGAGCAAAGTTTTCGCCATGTTTCACGACAATTGGAGACGTTTAGGAGCGTGTATCCATGACAGATGTATTCTTGTAAACTATTCTTCATTTCCCATTTCAATTTTTCATGGTCAAATTAATGTGAGCAAGTATGGTTTTCCAGAATTAAAAACAAATACAACTTTCCTACGAGTCTCGCCCTCTATCGACAAAACGCTACAATGGCCTAAATTTACGTAAGAGGGCGCCATTCATAAAGCTGTGAACTGTGTGCACATCCGTGTCCATCATTGAAAATGAAAAACTTCACAGCCAAGTAGAAAAGTCCAATTTAGCGATACTGCATAGACCCTATGTAATAAAATAATCAAACAATTTAGTTTCTGAATAATTCTATATTTTGTATACCCATCTATTGTGCATAATGAAGGAAATATCACTGTGTTCACCCTCTTATTGTTTCCAGTTCCACCGTAGTCTGATGGTCATCAACGTTGTCTGTTTCAGTGCTGCATTTGTGGTTATTTTTGTACATGTTGGAGGATGGGTAATTTATACAAGTACGAGTGATGTGCGTAGACCAAAAATATATTACATAAGAATACTAAACTTAACAAATCCATTCAAATAATACCAATGAATTATATTACAAGAAAAAAAAAACGGAATAGGTAAAATGATTATTTTTTTTTTCAGAAACAATTTATCCACGCTACCATTGGCTGTATTGTGGTAGGTTTGGGATTGACAAATCCTATAATGGCTTTATTTAGACCCCATCCCACCAACGATAAGTAAGTATTATCATGTCAATATTTATTATAATGTCAATATGACCGTACACCATCAAACATATTCATATCGAATACAAATATTCATGTGTGTCTTGCAACAAATGAAAAGGAAATACACAAGCTAACAATAAATGACACTATTAAACATCTCTTCGAATTGTAGTAGCCAGTCTAGAATATGTATATTTCGTGGTCTTGTTTTTTTGACGTCACAATCTCGCGGTGAACTAGCACACTTTTGTCTGTGCTCGTAAATAACATTATTTTTGTCTACTTTTAAATTTCTCGTATGTGACTAATAATTTCTATTCACATTATTTCTATCGATACAATAACATGAACATTTCTTTTATATTTCATCATACCGTCACATTATTGAATTTTATTTTACAGTCGATGGATCTTTAATTGGGCACATTTCTCGGTCGGGACGTCAGCTCATATACTCGCTAGTAAGTAACTATAGTAACAAATCCACATTTATCAGGCGCATTTAGTGTACTATTAATTAAGATACAAATTAGAACGAAAAATGTTATGTTGGTGAAATCATCTATATTACCATTCGAGATCTGTTCTTGGCCGATTGTATTTTACCTCTTTATAACGGAAGACTCTCCAATGAATGGCCGCCCTCTTGCGATGCGTATGAATGTTGCCACTGTCTTCATCATTTAAGGACGCGACGCATTTGAAATTCAGAATAAATCCGTTTCGCATTCTTGTAACAATGTGTAATTAAGCCTACTCAATTATGTAACACTTCTGGAATCATTGTTAAAGAAAAAATAAATACAAATATCTGGACAATATAAATACACAACTTATAAATGTAGACACTAAACCAAAAAGACATAAATTAAAACCCAAAGTTTTTTAACATATAAACACTTATGTGTACATAGTTAATATTAATTTTCTTGCATTTATATTTTCGTTTTTGACAGGTAGAAACATTAGCATTTTAACATGAGTTTCTCTTTATTTATTAGTGTTTAATGTATACCTTGGCATGGAACTGCTAAATCTACCTTCCTATTCCAAGGGGGTCTTTGTTGGTTGGATATGCTTTCACTTCGTAATGGAAATATGTTTAGAAATAATGAACTGTGTTAATAAAGAATCGGGTAAGTATGTTTTTGTGTGCTATAAACCAGAGTTCGATAACAAGGCGGACATGTGTATAGCGAGTCGCATTACATTGCTAGTCCCAGGGTATATTGTTACTATACGTTTATGTATTTTGCAGACACGTTTACATCGTACAAATTGTATTCAATGCTTACAAGTGGATCAACACACAGTAAGTATTAGTCACAATAGCGTTAACAAATGTAAATATAATGGTTAATTTTTTGCAATAACAAATTAAGCCAAAGCAGCGTCTTGCAGTGCGCCTCCTCTTTGATTCATGTTTCATGACTCTAGTTGTGTGTCTGTTTTGTCTTATTTTGACACAGGGACAACCAACGATATACAGGGAAAAAATGGTGTATCTAAAGGTACTTAATATTTATTTTAATTTTATTTTATTCCTAACTGTTCCCGCAGACAATAAGCCAAATTAAAGGGAGATCTGAGAAAACCGAACGATACATAACAAAAAAAGCCTAATCTTGAAAACAATACTAGTAAAATAAGGAATTTTACCGTATAACGTGAAATAAGTATCCGTCAAATCAAAGACATTACTCAAATCAATAACAAAGCTATTACAAAAACAATAAGAATTTTCTGATATTAATACGGGAAATGCCGTTTTGAAATGAACAATTTTCCTGAAAGCGCGTTAAAAAACATGAAAACGATTTTCCAAAGATATACACGATGCGTCCTATATATGTTATTAATACTTCTGAATAAATATATAAGGTTAATAATAAGTTTACAAGATTCAAGTGTAGACATGCTAAAGAGTGAACTTTTGTTGCACGAATATGTGATAAATCTAATTGAACCGATCAAGTTTGGCAATTAAGCAAATATTACCGAATTATCGTCAATATTAGGGCTTATTCTTCCAGTACTATGTCTTGGAATCGAAAATAGTGCATTCGCTGGGAATACATATTAACCCCACCGCACCAAAGATATATAAAACATGTACATATCAAAGTATATATCATTTGTTTGGTGCCTACAGTCAATTATTCATACATTTGTTTAAGCTTGATAACAAAATGTATATACCACAAACGCGAAAAACAAAACTTATCTTTCTTTTCTTTTCCAGGAAATCCTAAGGTAATATAATAGCGTTACTCCTATCAGTGGTGACTTTGCCGAAAACTTATTAGAGACGTGAATCGTGAAATCACAGGCCCGTGTAAGATTTCGAATATACTTGTCAGTTTTGACAAGTTTGTGTACGAAAGCGTTGATGTCAAAATAGCTCAAGTAATGTGATGACTTACGTTGTCACTGCTGATACCTAAGCCAGGTTTGAGAATTCTCGACTTTCACAACTCCACAATTACATAACACTGCTTACGCTTAAATTTGGTGTGTTGCTATGGTGCAAATACAAAACATCGCCAACAGTTTATATACTTACGCAATTTACATAACCATGCTGCTTGCAATATTAATGGATGTGTTGTATTTCTATTTCTTTTCACATGTATGGTGCGTCAGGGTAGATTAAGCTTGGTGCAAAACAACGATTTTAGATACATTTGAACATTAAATAATTTGTATTCTGTTGTTTCAATTGCGGAACATGACAAGCGACCATTTATCGGTTTTAATATCACGTGCCTTTTGTGTCAGTAGGTCGTTGAGATTCAATCACCTAAACATTTTTTTTTTCATTCGGCGGTGACCATGCGTACCGGGAACACGCCTACAACAACACGCATTACTCAATGTACTATAGACCTTCTAATCGGGTTTACCTAAAGCGCATTTTACCTTTTACTTTTTGAAAGACATATATATTATTTTAATATTTCCCTTCAAAGCCAAAAGAATGAATGATATTCATTTACTGAAAAATATTTTAAATACTCACAAATATTTGGAGAGAAAAATGTTGGCGCCCAAGTTATCTTGCCTACAGCTTTAAAACACGCGTTTGTTAAATTCACTAAATAGGAAGCGGCGTGATCATATAACGTGGCACCGCGCGGGAATGAGATCAGATCAGATGTGCAGACGATATACATTTTCAATAAAATTTACGCATTTGCGTTACTTTACTATCCTTTCTGTTGGTTTGTTGTGAAACAAAGCGAGGTTTATTGTTTATATTTTTTTAACACACAGTTATTTTTGCGTTTACTCATTTGTTCGTCCGAATCGAACGTTTTTTTCATTCATGAATAATTAACTACATGACGCAATGCTTGATGATGTCATTGGAACAAGGGCTATTGTGAATTCTATCAGAAAAAATATCCTTGCAACACAATTAATGATAATTTCGCAATAACAGCTACGCTTTTTAATGCTCTTACTAAATATTGTCTGGGCAAAATATTACTTCAGCAGGCTGTGATTATTAATTTTAGTACCCCTGTTCAAACTACGTGACGATCCAACTTCATGTCGTCTCGAGGTTTGGGTTCCATACATTTTGGAGCAAATTTTTTTCCTATATTTATGTATCTTTCAATATTTTTTGGGATTAATTTTGGACCAGTGGACATATTTTTCTATCGGCTACAGATATTGATCAAATGTTTAGAAATAATAATTTTGTGAAAGGTGAGAAAAAAAATATTTTTATCATTTTTCAGAAAACCAACCTAACCTAAATTGTGACCAAGACCTGTAGTCAATTGTTTCAAATATACGCCAAATAAACTAATATATAGTAGTATATATAGTATAGTATATATATATATATATATCAGTAATTTTAATGAAAAAAAAGTACATTTATCTTAGTAATAGTGACACCTGTTGTTTAGTGTGATGAACCCCCACGGTTGGGTACAGGAGCATAGAAGTTTTTAATTAAAATTGTTTTCCATAAGAAAAATGAAACCATCATACATGGCCTTATAAACAGCCTTTTACTTCATAGTGGGGTGGGTGGA